AGAGAGAGAGAAAGAGAACCCCCCCAGAGAGACGGCCATGCCACAACCCTTCTTCTCCATTCTCCCCCCAAGATTTTGGACACGCACTCACATGTGCCTGGTATGAGTTTCAAGCTACCGAGTGTGGGACTCAAACTGTGGTTTGCTATGTGGGAGTCCAGCACCTACATTCTTTTTTTTTTTTAAGTTTTTTCCCCTTAGGGTACATGCACTTAACAGAGAGCAGACAGGCACAGTGAAAGAGAAAGTGAGAAATCACCCCTGGGGGGATGGCCACACTACAATCCCCTCTCCTTCATTCTTCTCCTGGGATCTTGGCATATGAGCACACAGGCCCAGTGTGATTTTCAAGCTATTGGGTCTGGGCTCGAACCACAGTTGGCCATGTGTGAGTCCAGTGACGTGACTGCTCTGCCATCTGTTGGTCCCCAGTGCATACATTCTTAATGGTGAAAGTTGGATGCTTAAAATCAGGAACGAGCCCTGGATGTCTGCCTTCATCAATTCTATTTAACAATGCAATTCTTCCCAGGACAATTAGGCAATTAAAATGAAATAACATTAATCTAGATTTAAAAGGAAGAAGTAAAACTATCTCTATCCGCAGATATCATGACCTGGTGTATAGAAAACCCTGACGAATCCACTTAAAGCTATTAAGACTAACGAATGAGTCCATGTTGAATAGAAGATCAGTATATTATACAAAGATCAATTGTAGGGGCCAGCCCATAGTGCAGCAATTAAGTGCTGTGAATAGAAAGCCAGATCCAAGGTTGGCAGGTGGCATGGTGGTTAAGGACACTAGACTCCTACATGGTCAACCACAGTTTAAGTCCTAGACCTGGCAGTTTGCTTTCTCATTTTCTCTCTCTCTGTCCCTCTCTGCTCAAATTCTAAATAAATAAAGTTAAATAAAATAATTCTTTATTTAAAAAGATGCATGTGATTAAACATAACATTAAAAAATTACAATAATAAATAAAATTTAATTTTAAAAAGATCTGACATGGCTACCTGGAGTTGTCTAAATGCCAGCCCCTGTGGCTTAAAAAATGTGTTGGGTACTAGGCTAGCAAGTGGCATGGAGGTCAAGGGTATCCCACATAGCCAACTCTCTACAGTTCAAGTCCTGAACCCAGCAGCTTAAAAATCATGTGTGGTACATGTGTATGTGTGCCCGAAGTCCTGAAAGGAGAATGGAGGAGGAGGGATTGTTTGTGGACATCCGCCTGGGGAGTGATTTGTCACTTTCCCTGTCTCTCTTTGGCAAGCACACATTCACTATGGCAGAAAGGAAACAAAACAGAAGAAAAACATGCTGGGTGCATGTGTGTCCCAAATCCCGATGGGACAGAAAAATGGAGGAAAAGGGATTGTGCTGTGGCATGCCACATCTCATTAAAGGGTACTGTCCTTTTTTTTTTTGAGAGATTTTTGCTATACAGAGAGACAGAAAGTGAGAAATCACCACCTGGCAGGATGGCCATACTGCAATTCCTTCTCCTCCATTCTCTTCTGGATTTTGTGCATGCATGCACATGTGCCTGACATGAGTTTTAAGCTGCCAGGTCCAGGACTTGAACTGCAGTCAACTACATAGGAATTCAGTGACGTAACCATTATGCCATCTGCTGTTCCCAAGGGGGCAAGATGACTTCTTTCTTTCTCCTTCTTTCTCTGTTGAGTACATATACCCTGTGATTAATTTTTTTTTTTTTTTTAGAAATTTTTGCTACAGGGCACATGCACTCACCAGAAAGCAAGAAATCACCCCCTAGGAGAGAGGAGAGAAGGCCCTGCCGCAATCCCTTCTTCTCCATTCTCCTCTCAGGATCTTGGGCACGCAGGCGCACATGCCTGGCGTGAGTTTAAGTCACTGGGTCTGGGACTTGAACCGCAGTCGACTACATGGGAGTCCAGTGACATAGCCATTACACCAACTGCTGGTCCCTACCCTGTGATAATTTAAACAAGAATTGTATTTCTATACAGAAACAATGAACAAACTGAAAAAAAATTAACAATTGCATTTTACAATAGTATCTAAAAGAATACTTAGGAATACATTTAACAAAAGGGGTGCAAGATGTATACACTCTAAACTATAAAACATTATGGAAGAAAATATAGAAGATTTGGGACCAGCAGGTGGCGTGGTGGTTAAGGCACTGGACACTCCCACATGACCAATCACAGTTTGAGTCTGGGACCTGGTAGCTTGCTTTCTCACTCTCCCTCTCTCTTTCTCTGTGTGTCTCTCTTGGTCAAATTAAAATAAATTAATAAATTAAATTAAATTAAATAATTCCTTTGAAAAATATACAAGGAACACCTAAATAAATAGAAGGACATCCATGTCCATGGATCTGAAGACTTAAAATTGTAAAGATGGCAGGGCCAGTAGGTGGCATGGTGGTTAAGGGCACTAGACTCCCACATGGCTGACCACGGTTTGAGTCCTGGACCTAGTGGCTTGCTTTCTCACTTTCTCTCTCTTTCACTCTATCCCTTCCTGCTTGAATTAAAATAAATAAGTGGATAAAGTTGAATAAAATAATTCTTTAAAAGAATAAAATTGTAAAGATGGCAGTTCTTCTCACATTGATCTAAGATTCAATGTGATGCCTATCAAAATCCCAGCCTCATACCGTAATGGTTAAGGGAGCCAGACCCACATGGCCAACTGGGGTTCAAATCCCTGCCCTGGTAGCTTGAAAAACATGTTCTCTATCCTAAGGATCGTGGCATAGCCATGCACCACTGGGGGTTCTTTTCCCTCTTTCTTTTTTCTCTCTTGTGAGTGCATACACCCTCTGGCAATAAACAAAATAAATAAATAAATAAATAAGAATCATTTTTAGTGAAAGGTCATAAAGGGTCACATATTGTATGAGACCACTTCTATGTTAATTTCCAGAACAGAAAAATCTGAAGAAACAGAAAGTAGATTACTTCTCCTCTAGCTTGGGGTATGGGGATTGGGGAGTTCAAATTAAGGGGAGCAGAGGTTTTGGGGATGATGAAAATGTTCTAAAATTACCTGCTGGTGATTACACAACTCTGGATATGCCACAAACCACTTTAAATGGGTGAATTATACGGCTTGCAAATTATGTCTCAATAAAATTGCTCATAATAAAGTACAGGAATGGTGCCATTACTGTCACAAAGTCTTTTTGTCCAGAGGCTTCCAGTGGCTACTGTTCTTTGCAATGCTACACAAATTGAGGAGTGGGAGGAAATGGAATGAAAAAATGGTTTTTATTTTGTTTTGCTTTTTTTTTTTTTAGTTTTTATTCTAGGGCAGGTGCACTGGTGGAGGAGGAAGTGAGAAAGCACCCCCCAGGAAGGATGGCCACACTGAAATCCCTTCTCTACTCTCCTTTTGGAAGATTCTGAGCAGGCATATGCATGGACATGAGCCTGATGTGATTTTCAAGCCTCTACATCTGGGACTTGAACCACAGAGGGCCATGTGGGAGTCCAACACCTCAACCGCTATGCCACCTGCTGGCCCTCTTGTGGCTTTTTTTTTTTGGTGTGTTTAATTGATTTTTTTTTTTTCTATAAGGATCGGGTTGGAGAGACAGAGCTACAGAAAGCGAGAAATCACCCCGCATGCCCAAACATGTCCTTCCTTTACCTTCCTCATTCATTGTCCCTTAAGCAGGTGATCATGAGGTCACCCTGCTCACCTTATCACAGAATTTGACCAGTCTCTGCTGTGCTCTGCTTGCTTGCTACTCCTTCCTCCCACGTGTGATTTTTGCCTTTAAAATCATCCTGAATCCTGTAAGACCTTGGCACACATTATCTGGGGCAACTCTGATTTTGCGATGTCCAGACAATCGTCCTAATTCTGGCCCAGATAAAATTTCTGCTTCATTTACTGGGTCTCAGCTTTCTTTTGTATAGGCTGACATTTGACATATCAAAAGAAAAAGGGAAAGATAAAGAGAGAGGATAAAGAGAGAGAGAGTAAAAACAGGTGTTCTGTCTGGGATAAAGAAACCGAAGATGCTTAAATATAAAATTACTGGGTAAGTGTAAGATATTTGGGTATGTGTTGCATGAAAGATCTGGTTTGTTTTGTTTTGTTTTTTAGTTTTATGCTGCAGGGCACAGTGTGCTTGCCAGAGAGACAGAGAGCAGGAAAGTGAGAAATCACCCCTTGGGAGGCCACACAGCAATCCCTTCTCCTCCATTCTCCTCACAGTATTTTGGGCACCCACATAAATGCACCCTCCGTTATTTTCAAGCTGCTGGGTCGGGGACTCCAACCTGGTCTCCTACGTGGGAGCTGAGCATCTTAACCACCACACCACCTGATGGCCCCAAGATCTGAGCTCCTTTAAATTTGTGCCTAAAAACACTAAGATTGTCAACCCTGGTGAATTCAATGGTAGTAGCATCTGATATACCACAACCTCAATCACAAACCTGGGCAATTATCAGTAAAATTCCCATTATATACCCATTTTTTGTAACAGATGATGGAATTCATATCAGGATTCAATTCTTTCCCAGTGCAATTTTTGCAAACACAAGATGCACGTCTACTCTCAAAACCTGGCCAATACCTAGGCAGCAAACAGACCTTTGAGGTTCCCTGTCTGCATTCCACCTCCTCATACACACTTCCGGGCCCTTGCCCCCTGGTCATCCAGTGTGCGCCCAGCTTCACGAGGTCTCCACCTGGAGGAGGTGGCCTTTACTTGGGTGTTAGCAGGAGATCATTTGGGAGAAGAGATGTGTCGGACTGAGGCCCAGAGAACAGGCCCGCAGCGATTCCTGCCAGCTGTGGAGTGCGAAAAGCTAGGTAACGACAGAAAGCGCAGAGGGAAGGTGCCTCTAGAGTAACAGCCTAACCCGAGAGGAAGCCCCGGAGGTTCCTGAGGGAGAGGAAGGCCGGCGCACACCGACGGGGCGGGGCAGGGGCAGCGGT